AAGAGGGAATAAAGTGGCTCAACATGTTTTTGTATTGCTTGTTTTGCTGGTGAGGAACTCCAGCATGGGCAACCTGTTTGTGGACTTTTTTTTTGTTTAGCAAAAATGTGCCAGCAAGCCCTTAACCACAGTTCTGACTTGCATGGAGTCACTACAAAGTCATCTACCACTGACCTACTCCCCATATGATACTACATTTAGGTGAATTCAGTGAAGCTGCATTTAGAGAAAATTGAATTATGTACATCTAGGGGCAGATTATATATTCAGAAAGTGTCTAAATGCATGTTAAGACATGTATACAAAAGTAAATTTAAACACAGGAAAATTTGATTTGGGAAGCATAAAGTTTGTCTACACCTACATAGTTACATAGTAGATAAGATTGGACACAGACACAGGTTCATTCAGTTCCCAAAGAATTTCTCCTGTGTTTAAATAAACCAGATGTAAGAGGCAAGTGTGATTGTAGCCTTAGTGCTTATAATGTTCAGTGTTTGTGGCATGTTTGTTTTAATACAAAACTTGCCCTTTTTAGGGATGAGCTGAACCTAGCTAGGTTTGGTTCTTTGCACATTCACAGAAGTGCTTGAAAGTTTAGAAGCCAATCCAAACGCCACTAAAAGTAATGGGAGGCAAAGCTGCAAAATAATTTCTGAAAATGTGTCAGGTTATTATGTTTGGGATTGTCAAATATAGGGTATGGGGAGTTGGGCACTGATAGAAGGGATATGTGAAAAAAAAATATTGTTCAGCAGGGAAAGGGTCTATTTAGGAGTCTTAAAGAACAATATTTAAATTATAAAAATCCGAGTTCAATCAATAGAAAAAAAACTAATAAATAATTAGAAAAACTCCATATACAGAACTATATACCCACAGTTGATCCAAAGGAAAGCAAAAAAAACCTTTACAGTCATGGCCAAAAATATTGGCACCCCTGCACTTCTGTTAGATAATGCACCACTGCATCATGCACCAAAGTAAGGGTGCCAACACTGAACCTTGGGTATGTCACTAATAGCCTTTCACCACTACGAATATGAATCATTAATCACTACTCAGAATACAGTCTTTTAGCTAGTTTTCTATTCATTTAAAAAACAAATTCTCCAAGTCTATAGACTTTATCTTACACAGCTATTTGTGGGGAACTGTGGCAAACAATTCTGCAAATTTCCAGTATACTATACCCACAGCCACTCCTTTGTTTAAGTTTTTGCTTTAAAAAAAAAGAAAGCAGATTTTTTGACAACTGTGAACTTTTGTAAATCTATGCTATTGCTTATAATATTGTTTTTTTTTTTAGCAAAAACCTTTCTACAGTATGTATTTTTTAATAAAACTCTCAAGTATCTTTCCAACTATAGAATTTAACCAAACAGATCTGTAGTTACAGTTACTTGGCAAAGCCTTTGATCCCTCTTTAAATAGCAGATTGTACCTGAAAATGAAACATAGTTGTCTTTTTCCTGCCACTGAATGAAGTCAGAAGTTGGTCTTGGACAAATACTATTTCTGGAGCATAGAACAAGCAGATTGTAACTGCGCCAGGAAGGTACTAGCCATAGTATAGCCGAATCCTCCAGACAATACACAGTCACACAGGCACAGCTGTGTGGGTGCCCGCCCTTCTGAGAATAATCATGCGCAGTTGCATTCGCACATGTGCTTTCATGCACCTGCGACCACCCACCAGGGGTGGACTGACAACTCATGGGACCCTCTGGCAATAGGGGATCATGGGGCCCCTGTGTCCTTGCCCAAACTCAAAAAAACCTATGAAAAAAGTATCAGGGGCATCTCATGGAGCCTCCTACTGACCCCGGGCCCTTGGGCAGTGCCCGAGTTTCCAAATGGTCAGTCCGCCCCTGCCACCCACTGCTAATGTTGGCGCCAATAGGACTATTTAAATTCAGCAGTTCTATTAGCCAGTGCTGTTTGATCGGCAGCTCCTCCTGTATGTCTGTGCCTGTTCCTGTATCAATCCCTGTGATTGACCCAGCTTGTCCTGGCCTTGCTTGAACATGACCTTGGCTTGCTTCTTGGATTATGCTGCTGCTGCTGACCTCTCTTCTGCCTTCCATCTATGCCTGGTCTGGGCCACCTGTTACCGACCTGGCCCGTCTGACCCTGCATTCAGCCTTACCAGCCTGCTGTGCTGTGTCATCTGCCAGCCTCCAGTCTGTCTGCTACCAGCCTACTCTGCTGTGCCATCTGCCCGCTGTCAGCCTGCCTACTGACAGTCTGCTCTGCTGTATCATTTGCCAGTCACCAGTCTATGTGCTACAAGCCTTCTCTGCTGTGTCATCTGCCTGCTGCCAGTCTGCCTGCTACCAGCCTACTCTGCTGTGCCATCTGCCCGCTGTCAGCCTGCCTACTGACAGTCTGCTCTGCTGTATCATTTGCCAGTCACCAGGCTATGTGCTATAAGCCTGCTATGCTGTGTCATCTGCCTGCTGCCAGTCTGCCTGCTACCAGCCTACTTTGCTGTGTCATCTGCCCACTGGCAGCCTGCCTAGTGGCAGCCTGCTCTGCTGTATGATTTGCCAGTCACCAGCCTATGTGCTACAAGCCTGCTATGCTGTGTCATCTGCCTGATGCCAGTCTGCCTACTACCAGCCTACTGTGCTGTGCCATCTGCCCACTGTCAGCCTGCTCGCTACCAGCCTGCTCTATGGTGCCACCTGTTGCCAGCCTGCTCTGCAGTGATGTCTGCCTACAGTCAGCTGCTCCACACCAGGCATCCATTCAGCGGAGGTGTTTGCTGCTCCCACACAGACTACTGGACTGATCAGGCACTCATACCCCACCGTGCTCTTATGGTTGCTGTTTCACCTTCAGTGGCCCCTGAGCCTGAGCTGTATGAGAGGCTTTCCTCTGCACGCCAGGCTCACCAATAAGGTATGTGACAATCTGGAAATTATTTTTTTTATTTTAAAATTAAAAACAGAAAAATTGTACAAATTTGCAGATACCTTTTAAAGTATTTGCAAAGACTAAACATTTTTTACCTTAATGCCTTTCTTTCATAAAGGTAAAAAATGTTTCGGTAGTAGTAGACCCCCTCACTACCCTATACTAACCTGAGCCCTCACTCGATCTAGTGCTGTGTCCATCTATAGCAGCTCTCTACCTTCCCCCCACTTTCAAAGGCTTGACTGAGCAGTGGGAGCTATTGACTCCTGCTGCTGTAAGCAAAATCCAGGGCATCTTCTCCCCCCACTAGCTGTCACAATTTTAAAAAAATGCGACCCTGCCCACCAGGCCACGGCACTCATTCACAGTGTTCTGTGAATGAGAACACTACAAGTTCCAACAGCTTGTAGTTCTCAATGAACTACCATGGTGCTGTGGAGCGCTGTGGTAGTATATTGAGTCTTCCTGTCAGTCAGTAAGCGTCTGCCTGTATGATGTATTCTTATCCTTTAAAATTTTCTGCAGCATACTTGGACATGGTTTTAGTTTCTGTGAGACGGCGGTGGTATACCCAATCTTTAACCCCTTCACGCTTTCATCTCCCGTCCCTTTAAGGGTTTTCTGATGCTGGGAGGCAGGGGCAGGGTTTAGAATCATGTGACTACTGTGATTGGCTGCAATGGGCAGTCACATGATCGGAAAGGTCCCAATCGAAAGGAGAGATTGGGATCTTTCTGAGGGACGCCAACACATGTGCTGGGAGTGTAAGGGGTGCTCACTCTCAGCACGTTTGTTTACAAAAGGTACACAAATATGCAGCTGCTTGGCATCAAGGCCCAGCCGCCGAGAGGCTGCATATTTGTGTATCGTCAGCATGGAGAGGCAAAGATGCTGCCACCGGGAAATAAATTAATGAACTATGAAGTGGAAGATCATCTACTTTGCATAGTGACAGGGGGACAAGTAGTATGAGAATCAATGAAGAGTACAGGCATGAAGACCAAAGAAGTAAAGGTTTTTTTTGAGGAGGGGGTGGTCAATTGTATCAAAGGCAGCCGAAAGTTAGAGTACACAATACTATCCATTGGTTTCAGCTGTTACTAGGCTGTTTTTGAGTTTTAGGAGAGACGTTTCTGTGGAGTGTTAAGGGTAAAATCCAGACTGAAGGGGATCAAGAAGGTTATTCGCAAAGGATAAGTTCATTGATTCTTCGCCATAGTAGCTCATTGATTCTTCGTGTCAGTACATCCCGTATGGTTATACTGCCAGATCTCCAGGAGACTTGCATAGCACAAGCAATCTGCTGATTGCTGGCGCAATGCTTTACAGGCTCCTGCAGACAAAAATAATAAATGCACATTTTTAACCTGCAAAAAAAGTGCATTTATTATTTTTTACTAAAAAGGTGAACGTATCCTTTAAGTGGTCACTTAGTTGTAGACCAGGCGTTCAAGGAGTTTGGAGGAAAAGGGGAGCAAGGAGATGGGGAATAGGTTGTTAAAGTGGAACTTTAATCTCTCAATCAACATGGACTATTTTTAATCCTTATGCTACTAGCATTAGTAAATAGATAGTAAAGTATATCATACTGTATTTACTTGTTTTAAACTTTTTTACATTTCTTAAGTTACTTCCTGGTTTCTGTGTCTAGCAAATGATGTCATACATCCCAGCAGTCTTCAGGAGGGAAAGGAAGGTTCTCAGCTGAGCCTATGGCTGAGATAAGGGCAGATGGATTCCAGGAAGTAAATTATACATGAATCATCTATCCTTACTCAAGATGACAATGACCAGAAATGCTAAGGGGTGTTTTTCAAAATGATTTCTTTGCAAAATAAAGTATGGAGACATGGATTGATGGGAGAGTTTGCTTTGAATATTAAAAATGGAATAAAAAGCATTTTTGGTTTGTGGTGCTCAGATGCAGTGCAGTTCCACTTTAAGAATGCTGGGGTTCAAGGAAGGCTTTTAGGTATGGGGGTGACTAGTGCAAGTTGTCAAAGATGCCAGAAGAGAGGGAGAAATTGAAGATTTGAGTTAGAGAGTGTAGGATACAGGCAGAGAATCTGTTGGCTCTCACTCAGGGGTGGACTGACCATTTGGAAACTTGAGCACTGCCCAAGGGCCCGGGGTCAGTAGGGGGCCCCATGAGATGCCCCTGGTACCTTTTTCATAGGCTTTTTTGAGTTTGGGCAAGGACACAGGGGCCCCATGGTCCCCCATTGCCCGAGGGCCCCATGAGTTGTCAGTCCGCCCCTGCTCTCACTCTGTTATGAACTCTGACCCTCACTGATTTACTGTATGTCAGGGATACAGGACTGCTCCACATCAACTGCACACTTGCAAGCATTGTCATCCTTACTCACATGCCTTCTAGCGAGGAAGCTATCATTATACACAGTTACTGGCTAAATAGCTGTAGATTGCTAGACTGTTTACCTGCAAAACACCTGTCATCCTTGCATATATCCAAACAAGCAAGAATTTATGACCGTTTAGAGGTTTTGGACTGCTCACCTGCAAGTATCTGTTGTCTTTGCATGCATGCATACCATTGTGGGTAATATATGGGCTGGATAACACACCTTGGGTAGCGCCCAGGGGCAGACTGACCATATGGAAACTCGGGCCCGGGGTCAGTAGGGGGCCCCATGAGATGCCCCTGGTACCTTTTTCATAGGCTTTTTTGAGTTTGGGCAAGGACACGGGGCCCCATGATCCCCTATTGCCCGGGGGCCCCATGACTTGTCAGTCCGCCCCTGATAGCATCTATATATGAGAGAGACCCTTTACTCCTATGTGTATGTCAATATATCTCAGCTGGTCCTTGGCGTACCTGTAGCTGATCTGTGTTCACCCGAGGATCAATTGTGACGATTCACATTGTACAGTAGGCCTGTACTGCCAATATCCTCTTCTTTTGGGATATTAGTCAGGCTGTTCCTCAGTGGCTATAAGGCCTTTTGCAGTTATAGGTTTTTGGCTATCTTCAGGTGTGGGATATTTATCTGTGTATCATTCTGTGTTTTCTGCTTTCATCAGTGGCTGCTTTTTGAATGGAGAGTCTGTGAGTGATCTTATTCCACCCACTGTGGTATCATTGGCCTCTTTATGCTCAACTTGGAATAGCCACTGTCATTGCACATCCATTACATCAGGTCATTTTGGAATTATTCCAGGGGGAGCGGGAGGGAGGGCTCAGATGGTGGGGTGCGGCGGATCCTGGCCTTAAGGGAGGGTACAGGAGTTGTGGCACTCAGGGGGGCCTGGGGGTTGTTTTGAGTTAAGTGGGAACCAATATGTTTTAATTTTATTATTTATACTTTTTGCTATGACATTTTATAATATCAATAAATAATTTTTGGATGGTAGCTGCTGTGGTGTCCTGCCTTTTTCTCGTTTCTTCTTTTGGTACAATTGGTTTTCGGTGACATCCTTCCACTTATACTGTGGATAGCACAGCCAAATATTTCACTTGTGGGATCCCAAGATCTCATATCTTTTATTTTGTTAATTTATCAACCACCAGAAGGTGGCTGTAAGGTGGCCTTTGTTTCAAGACAGTTATGTTATAAAATGTTTTTGTTTGTTTGGGGTTTTTTTGGTGGCTATGCATAATGCTTATTGTTAGGATGTACCATCTGATTTCCATTTAATTGTTTGGTAAATAATGTTCAAAAATGGACTTAATAAATAAAGCATTATTATTCATTTATATACTGTATAACTAAGAGAAGAATGTCTTATCTATACCTTCCTGGTGGTTTTCTATAAAATCCCCTTTTTTGCTTCTTCTCCATTTTGACCTGTAACTTGAAGCCTACCTGTCAGGAAAATAATATAGGTAATGTTCATTCTCATGCAGCTAATGCACATGTGCCAGTACAAAGATGAGCTCAGGCCAGTAACCTGCATTCACTGACACGTAGGTGCATCTGTGTGCACCAGTGCACGTCAGCGCACGTCCATGCATTTTGGCGCTCGCCCATCCCAGGAATGAAGCCAGGCTGAATATTTAAAAGAGGCCTTGATGTGTGGTAATAACTGGGTGTTCTTCAGCTTCCCTGTGACCTGTGTAGCTGTGCTCTTGCTGACTGATTTCCCATTGCTGACTAGGCTTGCTCCTGGCCTTTCTCTGTGGAATCTAGATACTGACCACGGCTTGCCTCTGACTACACTCTGCCTGCTTCCCTGGTACTGACCTCTGCCTGCTCTTGGACTACTCTCTGCCTGCCTGGTACTTATTCCAGCCTGTTAATTAACTATGCTTTCTGCTGCCTTACCGTGTATGACTCCAGCTCACTTTGACTACAACTCTGATCCTGGCCATGACCTGCTAACAATTTATCAGCATCCATGCTTATATGAGCCTTGTGCCTCTGTCACCATACTCAAGGGTGCTAGGACCTGAGTCTCAAGGAAAGCCCTTTCATTAGGTCGGTCTCCAACCAAGGTACATGACACTACCTCATGTCCTCCTACTCCAGAAACCAATCAGCTTCTTGGTTTTATTGTCAAATCTTAATTGAACAAGGTGAAATTAGAGGCTGATTGACTAACATGCACTGCTACACCAGATTCGGAGTAGTTTAGTTTTGGTAAATCTCCCCCATAGCTTTTAACATGTTTTAAGGAATTTTATATATGGAGGTCAGAGATCCCAAAATGCTATGACTATATAAGCTGGTGTCATGCTCCCATCCTTTCAAGATTTTTACAATTTTTTTGCATGACATCTTAATACACGGAGAGGTGGAGGCAGTACACAGACCCCTGCAGGACGAGGAGAGGTTTACCTCATCCATCCACTGAGGCACAGTGCGGCCAGAAAGGAGTGTGGGAGTCCTCCAGTGGGAGAAAGGTGGCAGTACAGAATATCCATCATATCCTGGAAATATCTGCTCAGCATGGAAAATACCATTTAGTCCTATTAGGACAAAAAGCGTTATTAGCCATACTTAACAGTTTGGCTATATGTGAGGTGGCCGCATACCTATTCCTTAGCACAGAAAGTGTTTCACGTCACAATTATTGGCACAGCAAGATTGGAAGCACAGAGTGGACTTTTTTGATTATTTCATATTAATATTATTAATTTTAATTTATATGAATTTCTGCACAGTTTTTAGCACTATTTTAAGCACTTTTTTGCACTATTAATTCTTTGAATATTTAAGATTTATTTCTTACTTTTTGGAATTAATGATTTTTATTAACTTATTATATCGCTATATTTTGTATTGTTATTAATTTTACATAGATATCACAAATTCACTGTGAAGCGCGACATATATGTATATTTTTTTTAATACTTGCACAGTATTGCACAAGCATTATATTACATATATATATATATATATATATGTATAGTGTCTGTGCATGTCTGTAGCACCCTTCAAAACCTAGCTTTTATGCCAAATTCTAGGTCTATCTGACCAGAAAATTTGACACGTCTGCGTATTTTCGGAGATTATGCTACCTCTTATTCCAAACATATAACAATTTGCCCTTACTATGGGCTAGCTTCCTCATTATCAGGAAGTAAACAGCCTGGAATTCAACAATAAGATCAAGGCATTGGAGAATGCTGCAGGTACATAGGTGAAGGCATCTTATTTTCTTATGTTTTCACTTGAACAGAATCTTTTTAAATGCAGGCAACCTATTAATATGTTAAGCCTTAATAATTCGTTTTCATATCTTTATATATTTGTACTTTACTATAATGATGATTATAATTATTAATGGCATTCATGGTGTTGTGGCTCTGTTAAAACATTCATGTATTCAGCAGTATTACACAGCATGTCAGTGGCAAACTAGATTTGTTCTTCCTGTTTTCAGCGATTTTAGAAATTTGAATATTGAGGTCTTTACTATTCATTTCACATCATACTACAGATGCAAATAGGCTGAATTATATTTAATCAGCCTTGTCAAGTTGCAATCAGTTGATAGCCATTCTATGCCAACATATACTGATTAGTCTCATAGTATGTAAGGTATTTTTTTTAATTTTCGTCTTGTTCTCAAATGTACTTTAATGTAAGAGCATGTCATTGAAAGAATATGTGCGTATTTGTCCTTGTGTCTATACATGTGTTCTATAATTTACTGTACGTAATACTTCTTCATACCCATCTTCAGGGAGTAATTACAAATTATAGGGCCCCATAGCAGAAATCTAAAGGGTCTCCCAGTGACTTCTTTTTGTTGCACTTGACAATGTAAACTCAGACAAAACATGCCATTGATCTCAGCTAAGAGTAAATTGTCATAATCAAGGACAGATAGCAGGAAAGCTGTCAGTATGATTAGAAGGGACAGTGCTCTAGATAGAAGTTGCCACAATAGGTGGGGCATTTTCCAGCCAAATGGAATTTTTAAAACCTTTTTTTCCACATGACTACATGTTTTGCAGGGTCTCCCCCTTCCCATTACCGCCCCCACCCCATCCCCCCAATGCAATTTTTTTACAACTCCTTGTTTATTAGCCCAGGAAAAATGAATTTTCTTGACAGATTCAGCTACTATTTCAATTTCAATCAGGTTTGGTATCTGCAACAGTAAACAATGGATTGGCTGACCAGAGCAGAGGGCAGAGGAAATTTTTGGCATCTAAAACTCCCCATGTCTCGATATATAGAACCTGTTATCCTGTTAACCTGTTAACCTTATCCTGTTAACCTGTTATCCTGTTAACCCCCACCACCCTTGCACACTCATGTCAATGCAAACATGGGAGTAGGAAATGCACATATATGTAAACAATTATTATGATGAGCTGTAAAGCATTTAAGTGTCACCTATTGATATTTTTGGGTGCCACAGTTTTTTGCTGTTCCTCAGATGCATGCAATTTTAAGGGCAGACATATTTGATATTTACTTACTTGACACAACCTCATCTTTTATTTTGCATACAAAATGTGGATTATATTGTGTTTGTGTACATTAAAATTAATTTTAGTGTATTTTTTACTAAAACTATACATTTTATGATTAGTTGTTCAAATATTGTATGACATTAAATATTGCAAATACCATCCTCTTGTTCTACAGGGCCTCAATTTTCAGAATATATATATATATATATATATATATATATATATATATATATATATATACATACATACATACATACATACATACAGGTGAAACTCGAAAAATTAGAATATCGTGCAAAAGTTCATTTATTTCAGTAATGCAACTTAAAAGGTGAAACTAATATATGAGATAGACTCATTACATGCAAAGCAAGATAGTTCAAGCCGTGATATGTCATAATTGTGATGATTATGGCTTACAGCTCATGAAAACCCCAAATCCACAATCACAGAAAATTAGAATATTACATGCAATCAATAAAACAAGGATTGTACATAGAACAATATCAGACCTCTGAAAAGTATAAGCATGCATATGTACTCAGTACTTGGTTTGGGCTCCTTTTGCAGCAATTACTGCCTCAATGCGGCATGGTATGGAAGCTATCAGCCTGTGGCACTGCTGAGGTGTTATGAAAGACCAGGATGCTTCAATAGGGGCCTTCAGCTCTTCTGCATTGTTCGATCTCATGTCTCTCATCTTTCTCTTGGCAATGTCCCATAGATTCTCTATGGGGTTCAGGTCAGGCGAGTTTGCTGGCCAGTCAAGCACAGTAATCCCACGGTCATTGAACCAGGTTTTGGTGCTTTTGGCAGTGTGGGCAGGTGCCAAGTCCTGCTGGAAAATGAAGTCCGG